TATCAGTGAGTAAAGGAATGTATAACAACTGGCAAAGAACCTGAGAGATAATTGGTACTTAAGACAAGTTGGATTAGAAGAGAAAAGTAACAAGGTACCTTCCAGATTGGGTTGGTGTCTGATCATAGCTTTGAAGAGTGTTTTAATAGGAAAAGGAGGATAAACACCAGTACAAGCTAATTTTTAAATCTCAGCAATCTTTGGCTATGAACAGTACTTCTCAATCAGGTAACTACATTTTTTTATAAATAAGATCATATAAATACATATGTATACTTAGCTTCCTGTATTACCTGAGGGTCATATAAATTATACATATTAATACTCACATGAATGGAAGCTGTTTACCTGTTTTCGGGTATGGTGGTGGCATCTGGACCAGTTCAGAAAATGTTGAAACCCTGAGGCATCTCAATGACTTTTAGAGAGGAGAGAAATTTCAATTTGGGGAGATGAATATAGATGGATGCATCTTAAAATGTTGGTATTATTTTGTTCCTTAACATTTCAGAAGATAATTTGTTAATCATTTTCAAATACTCTATTTTTCTAAGTCTTTCTTCTGGGAGGTCTTATAGCGTCTGTGATTCAGATCTTGGACTTCCTGTGTACGTTGTTTTCTTAGATCTTAGAAATCTGACCACATCACTCACTATTCCATGGACACTTTATTTAATCAATGAAAGTGCCTACTACCTAAAAGGCATTATACAGGGCATTGTTGTGGTCAATACTGTAAACTCCCATTCATTTAACTGCAAGCAAGTTTGAGGGCCAACTACATAACAAGCAGTGAAGATGCAACTTTGAATAAATATCCAGCTCTTATCCTCTGATTTATAGATAAATGAGTGGCGTCGGCAAAAAAAAATAAGTAATTACTACACAATGTGACAAAACTCAAAGTAAGCAGTAGATCTGTGAGTTTTCTGTGGCTCTGTCTGAGTACTTCCTGGAGAATCTGGACTCAGGGGCTTCAAAACAGGTTAGCTTCACCCGAAGTGATGAATGGAAATAAAACGCGAGAGCAAGAGGCTGATCTTTCCATATTCTCCCAGAGTCCGTTTCATTTCTTTCTCATACCTGCAAATTTTTCCTGTGATTCTGGGGGGAAAAAAACTTTTCACTTAAGCCTCTCATTCTTCCTTCAGCTCTCTCTCTAGGTTCATTTTCTTTTGTCTCCTCACTCCCATCCCAGATCTGCTAGTCTCTGATGTCCATCACCCCCTCATCATGGTGGACCTCCCCCAAAGGACTACTGATAAACAGTCAATCGCCTGGATACACAAAGTATTTCTTTTGCAGTGTGGGTAAGTGTTGTTCTTACAGTATTTAAAGAGTTTGATGTTATAGTATTTACATTTTGATTGCTTAATTGAAAACATAATTCTATAGGTAAAATATATGTCCTATTAAGACGATTAGGCAGTAATTTGAAGAAAACCCATAAAGAGCTTTCACACTTTTATATTCAAGAATCTGACCCAAATGAAAGCATGGAGAAAAGGAAATTGTGTAATTATGAGGCCTTTCTACCTGTTCCAGGATATATACATATCTGGAGAAATCCAGAAACCAAGAGTTATGTAGGAGATGAGCTAAGCCAAGGGTGTGCATTACTTTTTGTGGCACCCCCCCCCCCGCCTTGGGTGCTGTGGCTTTGGGTGCTTTGTCTCTAACTGGTGAGACAATAATGGCATTGTTGTTGCTTTCACCACAGTTCTCAGAATGAAGAATAACTACGTTCTTTATTTTTACATCCCAGCATAATCTCTTTATTCAAGGCCTACATTTCAGAAGGTTTCATTTTAAAATGTGGATCTTGGAAAACCCCCGCCTAGCAATCAGGAAGAAACCCAGGGTGCAGGGGACATTGCACTGTGCACCCAGCTGTGTTGCGGTGGGGGTGCCAGGCAGTTGGGTCCTCTATGGGAGGTCAACTAGGAGGCCGACTGTGGGCCTAGGCTGCTGCAGGGAGGGCACTGACTCTGGAACCTGATTCATTTGGGATGAAGTCCAGTTCCATCCCATGCTAAAGTGACTTGGCCATTTACTTTCTCTGTGTCTCAGTTACCTCCCTATGAACTGGGGAAAAAATAGATCCTGCCTCATGGGGTCCTCGTGGTGTTTGAGTTAGCATTTATAGGGTTCCTACAGCTGTGTTGGGCATGCAGTTAGTCCTATGTGCATATCTATTGTAATGATTCCCAAGACTCCAGGGGAAATTCAGTTAATAGAAGAATGCACATAAACCATTAAATACCCATTTTCAATATATTTAAATTCTAGATCCTGATGACAGATCTTTTTATTTTTAATTGTATCATTTTCTAATTGAAGTAATGTTGGTTTACAACAATGTATATGATTTAGGTGTGTAAGACCCCATGTGGGCTCTTAGATATAGATCACTGTACCACACCCACCACCAAAGCACCCGTAATCTTCCACCTTAGAGCATCGAGACCCTCCCTTTTCTGCTGTCCATCCCCTCCATCCCTATCTGGTAGCCTCAATTCTGCAGTCAGATTTCTAGGGTTTGTTGTAGTTTAGTTTTGTGAAGACCGGGTTTTTAAAAGGCACCATTCATAGGAATATTACAAGCAAACAAACAAAAGAGCTAACAACACAGCTTAGGAGATTCCACCAAACCATCTGAAGGCAAAAAAGGAAACTGCCAACAGAAGTAGGGGTGTGACATCACCTTTATGCATACACCCTTCCAGGACTCGGGTGTGTATGTGCTTCACAAAAATGTGCTCCATGGCCCCATGGAGATGGACAGACTTTCTCCCCAGATTCCTGGGTTCAGAGAAACCCACAGTTCACCAAGCAGTTTGCTCAACTCTAATTAGGAATCTGATTGCTGGTTGGCCTTGCACAAAGGACTTTTAATTAGGGCTGAGAACGCTTAGAAAAATCCACTTGGCAAGTCGACTCCCTCCCTCTATCTCTTTTTTAACATCTTGCCAAGATCATAAGGAAAGGGAGAGCTTAATTACAGTTGGTGTATATATCTTTAAGAAAAAAAATACATTAAGTGCTTTAAAATAGGCTCTCTTGGCTCTGTGATCACAAGGATTTTACTCACTTCTTATCCCTGATTGGTCTCATTCTCAGTTACAGATGAATCAGACACATTTTGAGCAGCTTTAAGATTTGCTTTTCATCCAAAGCCAAGTAGGCAAATGGCAGTGAATTCACAAGCTTTTCCAAATGATCTCATAGGTTCCTCTGGCTCCACTGTGGGGGCCGTTTGCACTCTACAATGCTGTTATCTCAAACACCCTGGCCTGCTGGTGTCCAAGGACAGGCCACAGTGCAGGGTTGAGTAAGGCATTCTTCTTTCTAAAAGGCAGGTTTGAGCCCCTTAATATGTGCATGTGCAGTAATGAATTGAAAAAGGAGAACAAAATGAGCACATGAAAGACCCTGAGCCAGCAAGATGGACCTGGAGGAGGGTGGGGGTGGACACAGGGCCTTGGAGACGGAGACCGTCCTGAAATCCTTCTCAAGAGCACCCTCGTCTCACAATACATCAGTAGTCACCTTCTCATTAAATTGCCCATCCTGAAAAGAGGTGACCCACACTCCCCTTCAATCCGTTTGAACTTGGCCTTGACAGCCAGTGACATTTTAATTATTTATGTGAAATATCTGATAGAACATGGAGTAGCTGAACCCAGTGTAATATATGCTCAGGGCGATTCTGTGAAGTTTAAATAAGGCACTCAGATGCACAGAATATTTTGACTGAAGTTTGCTTTATAGCGCGCCTTTAGTCTCTGCCTTTTTTTCAAGTCTTTGTGCCTCAGTACTAAGGATCTCTTTCATCTAATCTCAGGAACCTGAAACCCTGCTATTGAATTACATTTCTTCACTTACTATTTATGTTTGATGCAAAAATAAGAAACTGGGTAGAAGCAGAAGATGCTGTCACTTGCGTCTGAAAGGAATATGTCGATCATTCTTGAGCCCTATCCAGCTCTTTCACACTTTTTAAACGTGATGCTTCTGTGCAGACTCTTGAGTTTGGCTCCATGGAATTATCTTAAAATTCAAGCACATCCTTTTCTGTTGAGCTGATGCAGCTCATGGTCCATGGGGATTTGAAAGTCCTTTGATTGGGTGAGGGGTGGCAGAGCCAAGGGGCTTTGAACTCGGTGCCATCACATGGGAATATACGATGGCCACCCGAATGCTTTCTGCCACAAACATCTTGCTAAGGTCACTGTGAACCTGTAATAGCGGCTGCAACAAATATACTTAACGATTTTATGGTACAGTGTCATTGGACTAAAAACTCCTGGATATCAAAGAAACTATTGGAGGGAGAATAGCTTTCTAATTCAAACCAGGTGAATTTCCCAGATATTTGGCTGATTTATCACACCATATGTATGCCTCTCCTTCACATTGTTTTTACCCTGTCTTAGCAGAGATCAGACATCTATTTATCACCGTTATGTTCTTCATGCTATTAAAAATAATCAGTTTTATGGGTTACCTTCTTTCCCAACTGCCAAGAATGCTCTCCAGAACTTAGCATTAGCTCTTCTGATGAGCTGGGGAGGGAAATATCATTATCCTTGTTTTACAGATGGAGAAATATAAAGCACAGGAAGACTGTTTTGCCTAAGGTGAAAGTGTTGTTTTAATCCTAGACTTTTATTTTTATCTCTTCAAATTTCTTCCCTAGGGTGGTAATGAGCTTGGAGGATTCATCAGGACTAAACCTTGTCTGAAGACTTGTTTATAAAATTATTTCAATAAAATCCACAATCAGATTGGCTGGGGTGGGTCTTCAAACCCAGTCGCTCTCCTAATGAGCACACTCATCAGGGCGGCAACATCTCGTTACCAGCGGCTTCTCCCACACTTTGTCAAGGCGGGCAGTGGGGGCTGGTGGAAGTTTATTAGTAATAAAGACCAAAGCCTCAGAAGCTTTTGTACTCGAATCTAGGTTCTTTTTCATTTGTTTAATTATTTAAAAAGTTAGCTTGGAAAATATTTGTGGAGCAGCTAATAGTGGGACTTCAGAGAGGGATGGCTTGACTCTTCCCACTCATTAGCCCCCGCAGCTTCCCGGTGAAATTCCCTCCGTTGCTGTCTCTTCATTTCCCTTCCTTGTGGCTGTGCTATTTCCCCTTCTGATTCCTATCTGTCTCCCCACCTCACACTGAGCTTGCTTATACCAAAGACTAAATGTTCAAAGTAGAAAGGAATCTGGAAGTAGGATTTTTATGTTTCAGAGCCCAGTACTTCTGGATGCCCAGCCTGGGAGCCACCAACGATGCCATTGGTTGGTAGGGTTAATTTTTTGAATATATGATGCTCTGAAACATAGGTTCTGTGGTTATGTACAACAGGATGGTGCTACTGAAGACATGAGGCCAGACTTCTGACCACTGAAGAGCTAGGTCTTCAAAGGGTTCTGCCATTCAAAGGTAGGGAAGTGTTTTTCAATTCTAAAGATCCACCGTTGCCTGAAATAACCCCACCGCTGCCACACACATGCACACCGAGTTGACTCAGTTGCCCCTAAGGCCTGTTCAGTCCAAGGTCATTCCACCCTGAACACACCCAGACCTCTTTTGACCTAGGTCTATTGGAACGGGAAGAAGGCAAGGCAGGGTAGGATTCACCATTAACTAAATGCCTCAACTAATGGGAGCTCAACTAGTCAGGATCTTTAGAAGGACTTTCTACTGTCTATTTAAAAACTGCATTTGGCTCAGATGATGAAATTAATTTCCATTCTATTCATTTTGTTCTTTTCAGTGACATTTAGAGTTTTCCAATAAAATTTCCAATAAAATTTCCAATAAAATAATAAAGCAAAGCATACTCATTGTCCAGAATTTAGATAAAATAAATAAAAAGTATTGGGGAAAAATTATACTATCCATAGTCATATTATCCAGATAATAAATGTTAATATTTGGCTTAGGACTTACTAATAATAAATAAGCACTTCTTTTTTTATTTAGATTTAGTATATATATATGGTTGAGACTTTTCTATTTAACATTTTTTCTTGAGTATTTTTCTGTATCCTTAAGTAGTCTTGAAATCATGATTTTTGTCAAACATATGAATTACGTTGTATGGTATACTATGATTTTATGTGCCCATCTCCCTAAAGTTGGACATTTAGGTTGTTTTAATTTGTAGTTATTGTAAGGAATTCTGTAATGTATATCCCTTTTACAGCAATCTTTGCCTACATCTTTGGTTTTGAAGTGATAGATTCCTCAGATGGAACTGAGTCAAAGCCTATTAACATTTTGAAAATTCTCAGTATCTGTTTTCAATTTGTTTTTCAAAAGCATTATGCCAATTTATATTCCAATTCATATGTATGATGGTATCCTTCAAACTAAATCTTTGCCACACCAAATCTTTTTGAAATCTTACCAATTAGATATGAGCTTACATCTGTTAATGACATCTTACTGATATTAATTTGTATTTCTTTATAACTTACTATTTTAATAGTGCTATGAGGCATAATTTACATACCATACAATCTCATTGTTGGTGGACAGCTCAAAGATTTTTGGTAAATTCCTAGACATGTGTAATTATCACCATTTTAAAACAATTTTAAGACATTCCAATTTTTGAACAGTCTCTATCTCCCCAAAATCTCTCAAACCCATTTTTAATCAGTTCCTTTTTACCTTTATCCCCAAGTAGCCACTGATGTGCTTTTTGTCTCTATAAACTTATCTTTTCTGGACATTCACAGAAATGGAATTATATATAGCATTTTGTTTCTTACTTTTTCACTTAGCATAATATCTTTGAGGTTTATGCGATAACATATATTGAATTCATTTTTATTGGTCACATTTTTAGTGAGGAGATAATTGTCTTTTGCTTATATCTTCAACAGTTGATAGGCATTTTGATTCTTTCCAGTTTTTTGGATTTATTATCAATAATATTAATATGCGTACTTACCTTAAAATCTGTGAGTGGAGATATGTTTTCATTTCTCTTGGTAGATTTCAGGAGTGGAATTTCTAGGTGCACTACTCTTTTAAATGTCCATCAACTGGTGAATGAATAAGCACAATTGAGTAGATTTCAAACTTTAGTTGTGCTCCTGAATAGTTTATATATCATAGAAATCATGTTTTCTGAAACTTCAAAAGAATTTTTTGGTATGACATCTGGACCTGAAGAATTTTTGAAAAAAGTTTTTGAAGACTTTGTCAAATCCTTTTCATCTGTGTAACTTATTTAATCAATTTTAGCAATTTCCTCCAGAAAATCAACCACTTCATTAATATTTTCCAGTGCACTAACAGAATATTTTCTTATCCCTTTTAAATCTCTGCAATTTGTTCATATCATTTTTCTCATTTCAAAGAATCATTTGCTCATATTTCCTCTTTCCTGATTCAAATGGTAAAATGTATTTGTTAGTCTTAAAAATTTAAAACACTTGGACTCATCAATTATACTTTATTTCCTAATTTACATATTTCTGTATTTATCTTTTTTACCAATTTCTGCTTATTTGAATTTGTTTTGTCCTTGTATTTCCAATTTTTAATCATGTGCTTAGTTTATTTTCATTATTTCTGATTTAGTAATGAGAACATTTGAGGTTCTCGACATACTGACTGCTTTGTAGCAATCTGGCCACATTCCATGAAAGCTAATGTATAATATTCTGATTTTCATTATTTTGTAAACAGGTTGCAATTATGGTTTTGATTTCTCCTTTTCTGCAAGCACTCTAAATTTTTTAATTAAGTATTTTAGAGTTTAGATTTTTTTTATCCTTTAAACTTTTGACCTTTTTCTAGTTTTGTTGCATTTTGGACAAAAGTTTTGTGACTATATTTTTTTTTTTGTTTAAGTTTTCAAGTAATATTTTAAAAAGGCATATTCTTTGTTGCTAAGAAACATAATAATATTTGCCTACAAATCTGCTTTAATAATTTTTTTCAGTTGTAATAATTATTATATTTCTTCAGTGTCCTTTTTTTTCTTCCCAATTGTTGAAGTCTGATGTTTAGGTCTCCTAAGAACAACTGCTTTTCTGTAGATATCTCCTTATATTTTATTAATTTTGTTTTTTACATTTTATGCTGTGTTTTATCGCGTGACTTTTACCACTATAACATTGTCATTCAGCATTGTACCACTTTTTTTTTTTAACTTTTTTTTTTTAAGATTTATTTATTTATTTATTCATACAAGCACTGGGTACAGTCAGTAGCGTGGGAGGGTGAGAGAATTCACCAGAGCCAGAGCAGGGAGCAGAGCAGGCAGAAGGACCGAAGTACACTGCTGAGGGGAGCAGTTGGCGGCAGGAGAGGTCTGCACGCCATGTGGGACCCTCCTCTGGTGGCCGGGTTGCAGCCGGGGATCGAACAGGCGCCGCAGAGGCTGCGGGCAGCTTCGCAACCCAGCGCTCAACTGCTGCGCCACTAGGGAGGCCCCAGCATTGTACCACTTAACCTAAAATGCCAAAACATTTCTTTTATCCCAAGGATTGCTTTATGATGAATTCTAATTCATCTAAATATCACTGCTATGTATCTTTTCCTTTCTTAGTACCTAATTGTAATATTTACTATAATATTTATTGTAATACTTATTGATATTTTCCTGATTTCCAAGTAAATTCATATTTATTGCAGAAATTTTGTCAACTATAGAAAAACATATAAACAAAAGCACCCTTTACCCACTATCCAAAGTTTTCTCTTTTTTTTTTTTCCTCTTCTAGATTTTTTTTTAATATGTTCGAAGAAATCAGAAGAGCCTCCATCAGGACCTATGGGTCACTAACCAATTAAAGCAGAAACTGTATCACTTCACAGTCCAGAGCATGGGGTGACAAAGTTGCCAAGAAATCAACTCTCATTACTTTTTTTGTTTTCTGAAATTCAAAAGACAGCAAGTTACATTCCCTTGCTTGTCTACTGCGGGAGCAAAGAAATAAAGCAATGGGATGGCCATGGATTCAGGGCAAGAATGATGTGAGTCTGCTGTAGTAGAGAGGAGAAAGCCCAGGAAGGAACTTGTGTCAGCAGACTCAGTGACTGCCTCAGAGAATTAAAATGTTGGCCTCAGCGCAGGCCTGGGATATGTGTCAGGGTGTGTATGTGGTTTGTTGTTGTCATTGTCATTGTGTGTAGCTGTTGGAAGGTCATTGTTTATATGTATTTGTGTGTGTTCTTGTTTATGTGTGGTGTTGTGGGGTTTGTGTTGTTGTTGTTGTGTGAGGAGGGGGCAATGTATGCAAGGGGGCCAGCCAAGAGGTCACATAGTAGAGAAAGCATTGAGAAGCAACCCAGAGTCTCCCTGAGGATAAGCAGAGTGTCAACACAGCCCAGTCACTTTTTCTTCTGGAGGCGGGAAAAACTGGGACTGAGAGCTGCCTCAAGTCTTGTTCTAGCTGAAAATTAAAGTCCTGAGTAATTTGGGCCTCCCTGGTAGCACAGTGGTTGAGCGCTGGGTCGCGAAGCTGCCCCCAGCCTCCCCGCAGAGTCGGTTAGATCCCCAGCTGCTCCCCGGCCACCAGAGGAGGGTCCCACATGGCGCGCAGACCTCTCCTGCCGCCCACTGCTCCCCTCAGCAGTGAACTTCAGTCCTTCTGCCGGCTCTGCTCCCCGCTCTGGCTCTGGTGAATTCTCTCACCCTCCCGCGTTTCTGACTGTACCCAGTGCTTGTATAAATAAATAAATAAATAAATCTTTAAAAAAATTTAAAAAAAAAAGTCCTGAGTAATTTAAGCAAAATGTATCCTATGTCAAGGGATCTGAAAAGGGAGTCTCCAAGGAAAGGTTAAAAGGACTTAACTTCTAACATAAAAAGAAAAGATTAAGTGGCTACTTAATTACTACCATCACATGCATGAAGGTTTTCTTAAAGGGAATGTTCAGTGATTTTCCACTTTCTATAGAAGACAGAAAGGGTAACATGCCATTCACTTAAAACAATAGAAAGATCAAGGGCTTTCTTAACCTTCAGATTAATGCAGCCTGGAACAGTCTGCAGGGAAAGATTATAGAATTTCCATCCCCAGTGATCTTTGAAGACTGATAAGTAGCCATCCAGGAGCCTTGAACTACTGGACAAGGGCGCACGCCTGGGTTGGGCAGATGTGGGCCGGGCTTCCAGCTCTGCACAACCCCTGACAGATTACTTTACCTCTTTAGTCTATAAACTCGTCTGTAAAACAGCACAACAACAACTCTATCACAGATTTGTTGAATTAAATCAAATGCCAATCTATATCGATTTCTAGTCCAATAGCTAAAATATAGAAGCTAAGAAATGTTAGTGTCTTCCTTCCTTTAAGCAGCCATTAGATAAAGTTAATCTTGAACCTTCTTTGACCAGTAAAGAGAATACAAATTCAATTCCACTGACAAAAAAATTTACTGAGCACCTACTCTATGTAAGGTGCTAGGTTGCCATT